GAGAGAGCAGTAGAGCCAGTCAAACAACATGTGGCATATGAGAAAACAAAGTGGTATTTACAAACGTGTGTCAGATTAAAACTAATGAACGCGATGTCGTATGTACTATTTGTTAACAAAGCGGTAGATAACTTCAAACGTTTGTTTAATCAATCATAAATCGAGTGGGGGAGGGGGAGGGACAGGGAGGATCGAGCTAATAAGATTGTCCTTGAAGTCGTAAGCCCAGTACAGCCACTGGATCGTTCACACAGAGGTGAATATTTAATCGACTTTTCCGATTATCGAAAGTCGACGGACGATTGGATGAGTTGAGTAGCTGAATGTACGTGGAAGGACACATCTTTTTTGCAGTATTTGCTACAACACTTGACGCAAAAGCACCAGTTAGATGTTATCGGTTCATGTTAACTATACGATAGTCTTTTTATGAGCACGTGTGCCGAAAATTGTCCGCATCTACCGACAAAGAATGACCACCAAAATGGTCAAGGGACTGCATTCCAAGAGTTACGCGGAAAGACTGGAATCACTGCAACTGTACTCCACACAGTATCACCGCAATCGAGAGGAATTGATCTTGATGTATCAAACAATGCGAAACCCAGATCACCCATGTCGTTCACTCTCTGCCTTGTCGCCAAACACTCACCTGAGGGAGCAATCATTCAAATTAGTGCTCCGAAAATGCCGGCGTTATTCATTCGCTCTCAGAGTGTGCACTGTTTGGAATTCTCTACCACCAGAAGTTGTTTCTGCGCCCACAATTGATTAATTCAAGCCCAACCTGGATGAAGCTTTGAAAAATCAAATTTCAACATCCGTAGCAGTGCACGAAACAAGGATAAATTGTTAAATTAGTCTACTTTCTATGAACCGTGAATCGATTCATCTGTGCTAAACCCTATGGGACTAGAAAAGCAACCGCTTGTAAGTATTTCCTATAATAAAACTTCAACTTTAATGCTGCCCACAGTTTGGTTTGAATATGACCAGACAAACAGTATTTTTCTCTACATATATCTCGTAAACAATTCTTTGGATGCACCCACCATATGTGGATATCGCATTGGTTCGAATCCCGTGTACTATTTTCCCATAATTGTTACCCAACTTCTCTACTGATGTAAAACCAAGAAGATACCTTTAGCTCCGGCTTTTCTAAAAAATGATTTCACAGTAATCGATTCGAAAACGGAGTTAAAGATCATTTGTTGGTCTACAAAGTGGACTACGGGAAAACGATACTGGACCGTAGCGACAAAAGCGAGACGAACGGTTACTCAAAAAGAGAGCTGCAGAAAAAAGAATTTAAAACGATAATAGAATAAGTAATTCCCGGTAGAAGCAACGCGAAAAAAACACGAGAAAGGTATACAAAATCAACCCGGGTAAATCTTGGAGGGAATGCATACCTTGTCCAGTAAACGTTTCACCTCACGCTCTTGTCTATAACGTCTGTTTGCAAACGGATTCTCCTCCAAAGCGTCGTAGTTGGCCTCAGCACTGCCCGGGCACAAAATTGAAGATATTCCACCACTGGTTCCAATGCCCAGAACATCCTCATACGGGCAGAATTGGACACGGTGCACGGGGCGTACCGCATAGTGTGACAAATAGGCCCCTTGCAAGACCAGCCGATTGACGCCGGGAGCAATCATAGTGCGCTTGGGTGGTGAACCCAAATCCTCCCACGATGCACTATCCGTCAAGCCCAAGTGTGGATCTCGCAGTATCTAGTCCAGGATGAGTGAATGTGATCAGAGAAAAGAAGAAAACGGATTAAAAGCACATTGTATGATCTCCCAGTTCTAACATCTAGTCTCACCTGTCAAAGGTATCACTTATCTGAATTCTTTATTCCCTTATCAAGAACAGCATTCGAGTTTGTATGGACAGAAAAGAGACTGACGACGATCCGGTTTTTCATTTGGGTTAGTGGATTGCTTTCTCATCGAGTAAGTTAAAGCAGCAGTATTGGAAAATTAAAGTCGATGGTCAAACGGACCTAGTGTTTTACTACAAGGGAACTGCAAAAGCAACGGGACAGGGGAAGAGAGTCACCTCAGGCTCGAATGAAGGACCGGCAAACGAAATCGAGTCACGAAATGGTATTTTAACTTCTGGCTGTTCCCGTGTACAAGCAATCCATGTTTTTTTCCGTTTTACAAGACTAGGGAATAAGCTCGCCTCAGAGAACACGAAGATCAATTGGGCTGCCGTGATATCTGACTTTCACTCAAACAGGGGTGTATATCACCGCGGCTCGCAGTGTTCGGATGGGCTGTTCCTGTCGGTAGGAAAGTCGAGAGATATGGAGGATGCTGAGACCAGTGACAATAGTCGCATTCCCTTAAATCTGATTAGGAGTAATGACTCAAGGAAAATAGGAATGAGGTAATCAAGGAGTCAGAGAAGCACTGATAACGTGAGCTGTTACATAACTGATTCTACCAGTCCCCAAACGGCGGGCACAGTCACGCTCATCTGGGAGGCATATACCATAAACCATAAACCATATACCATAAACCGCTGTGTAGACTGAGTTGATAACAAAACACATTTCCAAATTCAGGTGATAACTTATAGAGCAAAATATAACTTACTTGAACCGTGTTTCCCGCACCAACAGCAAGCAAACCCCGTTGGCTATATGAGATGGTCGTGGCTGATATAGGGAGTTGTATTTCGGACAGTGGATCGTAAGAAGAACGCAAGTCCCATACTTTGAGCTTGCGATCTAGTGCACACGTTGCCAAATACCTGCAGATAATTCAAAGGAACAAATAATTTGCCTCTTCTATCAGTGAAGAGTGTCCATCATGTTCATCAAATATATTTCCTAGCCCCGATCCAGCGCACGTCGAAAAATGAACACGAACACGGGCTAACCTCAACAAATTATCTCTACAAGTGGAAATCTGTGGGAGGACAAATCAGCTTGCTACACGTCTGCGATTACCGGAAATACGCCTCCTCTTCAACCTTCTGAACAAAACTAGAAAAAGAGCCTGAGCAGAACTGACACATCGATCATCAATTTCGTATGCTCTCACTCAGTCGTTTACGCACAGTTATATGATTACCTCATTACGAAAAATCAGTGTAAGATTGTAGTCTAATGGTATATTGTTGTTGTTGGTTAGGGGTTAGACAACCGCGAAACATTTATTTATGTTTGAAAAGAGAAGCCAGTATAGCAAACTGCACGATTTATGTCCTGGACGACTTTGCTGCATCTCAACTGGTGTCTACTGCAGACAAATACAATGTTTATATGGGGTTTGGGAATGAATTACAAAATACACACCTGTAAATCGGATAAGCGTCACCGAGGGAAAGCAAAGGTGATGAACAAGTCTTTTTGTTGACACAGAATTCATTTCTATCGGTTGATTGCGATCGTCTTGACAATCTTGAGTGTTCTGGTGTTGTCATTAGTAAAAATCACTCGAAATGCTTCCCCGCGATCCACGTGATGTTACGTCATCAACAAGTGCTTGGCAATCGATGAGCTTGGTGTTTGTAAGCACGGGCCATACCAGTTACCAGTTGTGTGGACTTTACCATGGCAACCTTGTGTCGAATCCAGTTCTTAATGTGTTCTAAAACCCGATTACGTAATTGCCCATCTGTTCTGCCTATGTAAGTATCTCCGTACCCACAATTCTATTCATATTGTCGATTTCTCAAGCAGTTTTGATGATTGTTTGATTGGTACGTGACTGAAGCACCAAAGGCGTTGTATGACGCCAGCTTATTGCCAAGAAGCATCATATCTGATTGGTTGAAATAGGGCTTCCCAATTTCACTAGGTTTATTCCTCAAAGGTAGCTAAGTTCCACTTTAAGGAAAAATTATGGTTTGGAGATGACTCCATCTGGCCCGGTGATTTTCCAAACCGCTCAAATCGTCTTTATGAGTATAAAGAACGCGCATCTTGTGCGTGAAATTCCAACAGTGTGATTCCTATCGATGGTAAACAGGTGAATTATTATATAATTCGGACTTTTATCTAATTGCGTGGCTCATGACTACTTGAAATCTGGTGACCCAGATTCCGTTCCTTCTTCCTCCCTCACAAAAATAACCACCTGGAGGTCTTGAATTCAAACCCCACCACCACCACCCATCTCCCCACTGTTTGTATTTCCCCGGGGAGTCTTTGTATTGACGGTGCCCCCTTCCTGAAAGTTTATTGTACACTTCCATAATCATTAAACAAAACGAAGTAAAAAGATTCTTTGAAAAATTTAAAAAGAAACTAAGCAGTGGTGGATCATCGAGATTCCGTGTTCTTTATTCCCTTTATTACTAATTACATTTAAATACGTAATAAAACGATAAGGTGACGTTGTCACAGCTGAACTGATCAGTAGAGCAGAAGATTGTAGGATCTTGTGAATTCGATCCCATTTTGGATGATTCAATGTGAATTGTCTGACACTGAAATACATTTAGTGGTAAACACATTTTGAGTTTTGGGTCAGGTATTTGCATTTGGCTAAGCCAATATCAAAGAAACGAATGGCGGTGACATCAAAAGCAATTGAGTCAGTTGCGTGCCCTGAGCGAAAAATTGTATGGTATACAAGTAACGGGTCTGAGTGGCAGACAATCGGGCGCAGGAAAAGAAACAACCACTTTCGAAAACCTTACGGATTCAGGCAAATTGCAGTGTTTAGTATGTATACGTGGTTCTTGCTGTCACACAAAAATGCAAACGGACAGGTGACATGCGCCTCAAATTGGTTGCGTGTGAAAAATACAGTCAAACCTACTTCCCGGTACGATCACAAGAAATTGCGGTAAGTCCGTTGTGATGGGCAAATAATTTCACCACCGGAGATTTTTCTGTAGGAATCCACATGGACACCGCTCCAGTGTTGTGCCCACTAATTACGACAGCATTGGTAGGATTCTGACAAAGCACTCCCAACCGTCCCCCGTAGGTGGGAATAGCAGCCACCACAGTGCCTGTGGTACAGTCCAGATAGTAGAGAAAACCGTTCTCGGCCTAGTAATTGATGAATCATTTTGGTTTAAACCTCCAAACATTAAAAGTAACTTACCGAAGCCACCAACAGAAAATGATACGGGAGAAATTCCAGCCGCAATACACGATGCAATTGTTTCATACAATGCACTTCCAATCCTTGATTATCATAAATAGATGTAGCTTGAGGCTCAGCGACAGCAATCAGCGTTTCTTGGTGCAGAAACCTGGAAATCGATTACCACGATCACACACACAGACACACAAACATACTTTATATCTTTGCACTCATGACTCACATTGACTTCAAACAATGGTTTTTTTACCAACCAATCAAAGGCACCAATGTTGCCGGATTTTCCACAATAGGCAAGAAACCTGTCGGGGGGAACCAATAAGAACGTGCACTACTAACCGTCCGTTACGCGAATAATCTATGGTATAGGGACCACCGGGAAACTTCAAGTCGAACCTCTACAGCATAAACGTAAAGCGACGGCAATCAAGTCATACCTTCGTTGCAGAGCCAATATCTACGGCCGACGCAATAGAGTCTTGATCCACACGTTCATTTTCATTTTTCTCGAGAAATCTGTCGCAAATAAAGCGGGAGAGATTGCAAGGGCTTACCCCGGGGATGCGGTTTCCAGCAAAGCTGCTTTTGCAGCCTGATGCTCAGCATGTTGTGCACGTCTGGCAAATGCTTCTGCACGTTTACGATGAAAACGAGTCGGAAGATGGGACTAAATACAGGTATGATTATGAGCAAAACAATGGAGCAAGACTCTCACAGTATCCATATGCAGGAAACTGACGCAACTGAAAAAGTGACAATAGAAGCTGAAAATGGGAACAAAATGGTATAAGTATGCAAAACATCAGATATATTCTGGAAAATAGTTAGAAATTATGCTATCAACGAGTTAGTTTTCATCACAAAGTTCGAGATACATGACGGTGGACAGTCGCGGTGCTATTATCATGACCACATGTCTGTGGGCGACCCACGAACACAAAACTGGGGTTTTCTTTGAAAGCAGTCAAGAAAACCATTGTGCACATGTTTCCACACTTGTCTGCTTTTAGACAGTGCAAAGCAAACAGCGGTATAACATCTGTACAAGTGAGAAAAGTAGGCATTTAACTAGAAAAGGCATAAGATAACAGAACGCGGTCGCGAGACGAAAAACGTACTAACAAGCCATGCAAGTAGCACAGGATACAGTGAATGGGGATTAATCATCCGTTAGTCTTTCTCTGTTCTTTGTCACTTTTTCAGCTTTTAGGCATCCAGTTCACCGTGTTTGGGGTGTATGGGGTATCCTGTAGGAGTGGGACCTCGAACTTGGAGGGATGGCGAACCTATTTGGGAAACCTCCGTTCTTTGGTCTTCACCAGGTGTTCAGCTCTTACCTGTGACTACAAAAAGCTGTCTGGATGCAACAGCAGCCACCAACCTGGTAAACTGCTCGACAGGCGGGCCAAACCAGGTTGAGGTTAACTGGGAGATCAACCCCTGGTGAG